CAGTCCAAGAAATGAGCCGACTTCCTTCCTCATCTTTGGGCTTTTGCTCTTGACTTTTTCAAATTTTCATATCTATTTTGACGTTTTTATATCCAGCCAGAAGCCCAGGATAATCCTTTTTTTTTTTTACCCAATAAAGAGATTTTGGTGATATTACTGTAGAGTCAGCCCGTCTGATCTTTATGACAAGAATAAGTATCTTGCATATTTATTTGTTTATCTTATCCTATATTTTGTTGAGATCGTGTATATATATATAAATATATTTTTTTTTCATGGAGTGGTTGGGTGTACAGTAGTTCCTGAGATGACAGTCAAACCACTTCTTGGGTTGATGGGGCCAGCGAGCAGCGAGGGTGATAGCGTGTGTCTGCCTTCAGCTCATATCTCTGCCTGATAAAGTATAGCTTGGTTACTTGTAGGAAATAGTTTCTGTAATTTACACTTATTTCGACCATACTATCACATCTACCGACTCGCAAAATGCTTTTAACGATTCAGTGACTCCTGTCTCCAGCCTCTTCACTTTCACTCTATTTTGTCTCTCTTGTTTAGTCGATACTTTTTATCTATGTGGGACACGTCTCGTAATTTCAGTATATATATATATATATATATATATATATATATATATATATATATATATATATATATATATATATATATATATATATATATATATCCTTTATTTTATTTGTATTAGTAAACTCGAGATGGAACTCAATTCCAACTTGGAGACTCTCGTTTTGTGAGGACTTTACTTACCATTATCTCTCTGTGCGTCTCCTCCGTTACTCCTATCTCTCTGGTCGAGTTTCGACACCACTCCCTCCTCCACCTCGCCATCACGCTCCCATCTTTATTACTTGCTCGCCGCCTCGCCCACATTAATCTGGCGAAGCAGGCGTCTCTTCCTTTTAACAACTCAATAAATTATTAATCCCAAATTCAACGTTATTATCTAAGTTCACTCAGTAAGCAACTCCACGTCGTTGTTTGTTAGTGAGTGTGAACCTTGTGAGCACCGCGGGAGGAAGAGATGACCTTGTTATCTGAAACTCGTCTCCACGACGATTCCTGGATCATTCAGATTTGACTTACTGATCACATAAGAGATCATTTGCATGTTAAGTCACGACACCAGCTGAGTGGGCTTACAGTTACCACGGAGATGGTGAGATAGGATAAGGATATCAACCCCTCTGTTACCTGGATAATTGTCAGCCAGCTGGAGGTAAAAAGTTACACTCCAGGTCTTCAAGCCTTATAATAATCAAGCACGGTCTTCTAAGTGGATATTCTAACCCATAATTCCTAGATTGCAAATCCATTATCACAATCAGTATTTCCGTTCACCTTCCATTAAACAAAGTAACTTTTACTTCCTTAATATAACTTCGATCATACCGTCTTTGAGCTTGGTGTAGACTAAGGCTGCCATTCTACACGTTTCCTTTAATTTATTCCTTAAGTTTGACTCTTAAGGATCGATATTCTCGGCTGCCAGTGTCTAACTCTCGATTCATAAATTTCAAAACTTTCATCGGCCCCTTCACTCCTCTCGCTGGCTGCTCGTAAGAAGCTTCACGGGGAAAACGGGGCAAGAATATCGGACTTTACGTAATGATCGGGAGGCAGGAAGAACTAAGCAGCAGATCGTCCCACAATTCTTGGAACTCTCACCACACCACCCCCCCCCTCCCCTCTCTCTTACTGTCACTCTGTTGATACTCTCATAATTGAATTTTACTTACTGCCATCACTCCTAGTATCAAATCATCAGTTGTATTATGCACACATTGCTTATCAAGATTTTTTCCCTGAAATTCAATCTTACAATTTTCTATGAACACTTTAGTAACTGCCAGGTGTGACACAACTGCATTTAGAAACATACAGTAGTAGCGTCCTTCACTGATCTACTGGTCCCTAACACAACCATGAGACAGAGTCATCCTTTGCTGCCTCACATTGCTTGTCCGTTTCAATGTTGACAGATTCTTGTTATGGTCCTCCCATGCGCCTTCTGATCTCCTAGGGACCTTTTCTCAACGTTGACGTATTAACACAGCGCTATTTGGTTATTTTCTTATAATTCAGTTCTTGTAGTTGTTTGATTACCAAATTTCTGACTAAAGTTTCTATTCTGGGTCAAACTTGATGTGTCTTTCAGTTTATATCTCTTTAATGTTTAATATGTGTTTGTTTTATCAGGGGACTAAAAACTCTCCACTTGACCTGATACAGTCAACAAGGACTCATCGTTGTTATTCATTGTCTTCCTTCCACTCTTGATATCAGTTAAGGGTTAGGAGTGGTCTTCTAACTTAAACTATATTCTCTTTACAAATTCTTTTTCGTACTCCATCGTTTATTTAGTCTCTTTCTCTCTCTCTCTCTCTTATGGCTTTGTCTCCTCCTTTCTTCATCCCACAGCTTTTGTTTTTCTTTTCTTTTCACCTTTGTTTTCCCCCTTTAAAAAGTCTCTTTCTACCCTCAACCCTATCCCCTAACCTCTCGCCACACACACACACACACACACACACTGAGTTTCGTCTAAGTCCACTTCTGAAAATTCATGACCAAAATTTACAACGCTATTAAATTGTCCTTCTAATATAGTAGTTCCCCAGTCGCCAGTGAAATACTGACGTCACCATTTTTTATAACCCCCTAAAAGACCTGCCAGACAGTCCGCCGTGTTTTCATTCCTTAAGATCATAGTTTGGGAATATCTTTTTAAAAAATCGTTTGTTATTTTATGCTTGAAGAACAAATAAGGATGAACAAATATAATATAAATAGACGTACAAATGTTTCATATAAGTTAGTATTGGCTTATCAAAGGCTCTTTTTTGTGTGTAATTCTTGTTGATGCTACAATTCCAGTTTTTGAGAAATCCTATTAAAATTCCTGTTGGATGTAGAAGAAACATATTATACTTTGTAGAGCGACTCAAACATCAGAAGGTCTAATTATGTTTACTTATATTATCAACATACAAAGTTATAGTCCTGTCCATAGCATTAGAACTCTTCAACAGTACTTTACAACTCCTCAAAACTGTCATACAAGTGACCCTTCGGCAACCCACAGCAGACTTTACGCCCTTAGTTTCCTTACATAAAAGTCAGGAAAGTCTGTTATAGAGGTTACGGTAGGTAGCGATAGTTTTGATACTAAACAAAAATAAAATTATCTTTAATAAATCTACAATTTATTCCCTGTCACTTTTGTTTATTGCGCTGAACTTTCGCTTTACTTATAGCTGGAATTTATCGTCAGTCATTTTTTTTTCACAAAGTTCCATCGTTGATTTTGTCTTTTCTGTTCTTTTAAAAAATAATGGAAAATACACATAGAAGCGGAAGATAACTGATTCAGAAATAGATGTGTAGATAATGTGTGTGTGTGTGTGTGTGTGTGGATACTGTCAAGGCTCTCCGCCGACGCTTGTTGTTGTGTTGCTGCAGTAGGATCCGCCCACTGCTAATTCAGTTCTTTTACACAAAATAACATATCCACTTTGCTTGCGTTTGATCTCTCACCCACTCCCTTCGTTGCATGTCTCTCAGTGCTGTACCTGACAACACACCTTTGTTTGTTCCTCAGGGTAGTCTGGAGTTTGTCTCATTTTTAGTTTAATCGTCATATTGCTCAGTCGTAGCCGTGTATACTTGTTACACACTTTTACTCTATACAAAGGCTCACGTTAATTTTGAACATGTCTTAGTTTATCAGTGGCATCCTGGTTGCAATGTGAATCTTAATTTATTTTAGAATATGATTCCAATCCTATTTATTGTTGCTTGTTGAGTTTCCTACAGCAGCGGGTATTTGTAGTCTTGACATCATGAGAGGTCTTCGCTAATATAATTTACAACAACGGTGTATTACGACGCAGGTTAATTTTGTTCCCAATAACTACACCTAAAAAAAATCGTCAACTTTATATGATGTAAATTTATATTGAAATTAATCACTAAATTACAGCTTAAAAATAAATAATCCATTGGAAAACTAGATTAATATCAGCCGCTAGCATGTAATCCTCCATGACAGCTGAATGTTACCTGACACTCATGTTATGTGACACTCATGTTATGTGACACTCCTGTTATGTGACACTCATGCTATGTGACACTCATGTTACCTGACACTCACGTTACTTGACACTCATGTTACCTGACATACATGTTACCTGACACACGTGTTACCTGACTCCCATATTACCTGACACATGTTATCTGACACACATGTTACCTGACACTCATGTTACCTGACACTCCAGGAGGTCACCAGAACGACCAACACACAGTGGCAGCTTGTGCGTGGTCTAGACTTATAAAACAAAGAATATGTATAAGGATTATTGACATTATTCGAGTCTATTGGTCCTTTAAACTGTAAAATATTTCTTATTTTAAAAACTTCAGAAGTTGTATATCTTTCTCCTTCACCGCTTGTAATTGGTGTCACCAGAAAGTCGTTCAAATGTCATCAGGCAAAACGTCTCATGTTGTTTGGTGGTAAATGTTTTCAATTGAGTTTTGAAAAAGTGGTTCGGTGTGTCATGATCTTTTAACGTGTCAGTGTGTCATTAATGTCAGGCGTCACTAGAAGGTTTTTTTCTTCTTCTGCAGTTAATAATGGCTGAGAATAATTACATACTCCAGTGTCTTGTGTGATATCATCCGCTTCTGGGGTGTCACAAGCAGCACGCGGGAATTTTATATTTTTCGGTAAAATTTTGAATATTACTTGAGTACTTCATGATTCTCTTATGCTGTATGAAAATGTATGTCCTTAATATTAAACTTGAAAGCTTCGAGAGTCACTTTTCCACTAGCATTGTTCTTAAATGAAGTTGTATCTGTTGACATCATGGTAAGAGTTATTAACCCTGCTGAAGCCACGTAGTAATAACAGGTGTAGCGGCTGGTGGTGGTGATGACCCTTCTGACCTCCCCACATAATAATGGTTGACATGTTGTTGCAGGGGATGAGAGCGAGGAGAGGGAGCCACAGATCACGTGGGGTCGAGCCAACAGCAACACGGCCTACTTCCACGACCAATCACCTACCAATGTGACGGCCATGGTGGGGCTGAAGGCCTCCCTCCCCTGCCGCGTCCTCAACCTGGACAAGAAGGATGTGAGTTGATGACGCTCCACTCCTTTACACACTCACTGTTACTCACTGTTCTCTATACTGTATACATCCATATAGGAATACACAGTACACCTATAAATTTATAGGGGTAGACATTCGAACACACACACACACACACACACACACACACACACACACACACACACATATATATATGTATACTCTGGATCCAATTAAAGAGAACCTTTAATTATTCCAGCAGCATCTCTTAATTATCTCGGAGTCCGTTAAATAGTACCTAATTACCACGGACCCCTAATTACCTAAGACCCAGTTAAAGAGAACCCTCTAATTACCCTAGACCCCTTAAAGGAAAACTTCCTAATTACCTCCTAATTATCCCCAACCCTGTTAAAGATAACCCCAATTACCTCAGACCCCGTTAAAGAGAGCATTTTAATTACCCCAGACCCCGTTAAAGAAAACCTCCAAATTACCTCCTAATTATCCCGGACCCGGTCCAAAACCCTTAGTTATATCGGACCCGTTAAGAGAACCACCTAATTATTCACGCGGAAAGGCGACTCAAACATCGTTGTACAAAAATGTTCTTCATATCTTTTATATTTTCCTATGAGAGATATTTTATATGAGTGAGATAAGTAATACAGAAGTACACACAGAACCCTTCTAATTTAGCTCCCAGGTGCCCGTACAGATGGCGGTATAGATAAATATTGCAACATCTCTATGATTTTGTGTAGGCAGCGATAAATTCAAGCTGTCTCTGTTAGTCTCACTTCTTATAGTGAGTCTCTTTCGTACATTGATGACGCCACAGTGTTGCTAGTGTACAAATATATATATATATATATATATATATATATATATATATATATATATATATATATATATATATATATATATATATATATATATATATATATATCAGTAACTTAAGGTAATATACGAATATGGAATTTTTCATTAAATACCTGTAGCTTATGATATAATTATTCGGAAGTTCCTCTTTAATTATAAGTAACTTCAGCAATTACTGTATAACAGAAGTCCTCATAAATTTCCTTAAGAGTTGAGTAACAGTTCAGGGTTTCTCATTTGAATCAGTTAAAAATGACTAGATAATTACATTCAACTTTAGCTATTATATAAAATGAAAAATGTCTTATGATATCGAGTTATAATTATTTACGTGTTACTTGAGGTAAGACTTGAGGTAATATTTGAGGTAATACTTGAGGTAATACTGAGGTTTATACTTGAGGTAATACTTAAGGCTTATGCTTGAGATAATACTTGAGTTTATACCTGAGGTAATACTTAGGTTATACTTGAGGTAATACTTGAGGTAATACTTGAGGATTATACTTGAGATAATACTTTAGGTTTATACTTGAGGTAATACTTGAGGTTTATACTTGAGGTAATACTTGAGGTAATACTTGAGGTTTATACTTGAGGTAATACTTGAGGTAATACTTGAGGTAAAATTTGAGGTTAGTATTTGAGGGCAATATTTGAGGTACTTGAGGTAATATTTGAGGGAATATTTGAGGTTAGTATTTGAGGGTAATATTTGAGGTACTTGAGGTAATATTTGAGGGTAATACTTGAGGTAATATTTGAGGGTAATACTTGAGGTAATATTTGAGGGTAATACTTGAGGTAATACTTGAGGGTAATACCTGAGGTTTATTGTTTCTTCCACCAGGTGTCGTGGATCAGACAGCGAGACCTTCACATACTAACTGTAGGGCTGTCTACCTACACCAGTGACGACCGCTTCAAGGTAGGGCGCTCCTCCTCCTCCTCCTCCTCCTCCTCATCATCATCATCATCATCATCATCATCATCATCATCCCTCCCACTCCTCTTCCTATCCACCATTCCGTTTCCTCATCAACACTTCTCTACTTTTACAACACAGCTCATCTTCTCCCCCGCCCCCCCCGTCTCTCTCTCTCTCTCTCTCTCTCTTCCCCCGTCTGTATGTATGTATGTTGAACAATCTCTCGAAAAATTTACGTTCTACTAGAGAATAATGTAAAGAATAATTTTAGTCTTGATATATGTGTGTGTGTGTGTGTGTGTGTATGTGTGTGTGTGTGTGTGTGTGTGTGTGTGTGTGTGTGTGTGTGTGTGTGTGTGTATGTGTGTGTGTGTGTGTGTGTGTGTGTGTGTGTGTGTGTGTGTGTGTGTGTGTGTGTGTGTGTGTGTGTGTGTGTGTGTGTGTGTGTGTGTGTGTGTGTATGTGTGTGTGTGTGTGTGTGTGTGTGTGTGTGTGTGTGTGTGTGTGTGTGTGTGTGTGTGTGTGTGTGTGTGTATGTGTGTGTGTGTGTGTGTGTGTGTGTGTGTGTGTGTGTGTTCTCGTCAGCTGTAGTGTGGCCTTCTCGTCTCTCTGCTACACCCAACTGTGTTTATGTTAATGAACGTCTTGGTGGGAACCTGACTTTTACTGCCTTGGACCCTGTCTCGTTCCCACTTAGATTACTTTCATCATCTCTTTAAGCCGCCTTAATTCGCTATTAAAACTGGGTCATCCTACTTCATGTCAGTTTCGTCTTCCTTTAGTGTCAAGTTTCATTCTTCCTTAATATCAAGTTCGTCCTCTCTTAATGCCAGTTTCACTCTGTCTTATGCCATACCAGTTTTACTCTACCTTATGCAAGTTTTGGTCTGACTTATGGCAGTTTCACTTTCCCTAAATGCCGGTTTCATCCAATCTAAAACACCAGTGTCGTACTTCCTCAGTGGTCATGTTTCAGTGTACCTTAATGCCAGTTTCATATTGCCGTATAAACGTGGGACATACACCCTGCAAGTTAGTTTCTTTTTGTCTTAAACTTAAGTTAATCCCTCTGAAAGCTAGTTCTTTTGTTCTTTAATGCTAGTTTTATGCTCCTATCACCAGATTTATTGTCCCTTATAGTTCCTTGAATCCTGGGTTTTTCTCTTACTGTCAGTTTCATCTTCCCTAAATGCCAGTTTTATCCACAAATAAGCCCGGTTTCATCTAATTTTAAAGTCAATTTCATCTGCTTTAAAATGTGTTTCATTCACATTCTAAACCAGTTTCATCATGCCTAAAGACAGTTAAATCCTTCTTTAAAACTGGTTTCTGTTTCCCTTAAAGCCAATTTTCTTTTCGTTTGTATTTGAAACCATCCTCCTAAAGCAGGTTTTATCCCCTTAAGGCCAGTATCATCGTCCCATAAAGCTATTTTGTATTTTTTCCTCGAGTGTCCGGCTGTACCCAACATTTTTTAGGTAATCGTATTCCGGTTGGTCTAATTTTTTTGTTGTTCTTGCTTTTTTTCCCGTTTTTCCCTGTTCCTTTACTTTATTTTAGTATTCCTTTTTATGCCATCTGCTACACATGTTAGTTATGATGTCTTGGTTATGTTTATGTGTGTTCATCTGCAACTGACTCCCTCCTGTTAGTGTTAGTTGGCCTCATGGGTAATAGAGCAATACTGGAGCCATTTGTCCTCCAGGTCTATATTGTATCTTAAGTGAGTCAGACGAGTTTACATATAAGTTTTCACGCTTCTATTTTGAGAGGAAGCTTAGCTTCCAAGGGTTAGAGAATTCGAGCCTTGGGTGGCTTAGTGTCGGATATATGTTGATGGTTATTATTCTTTCTGATACGTTGGTCGACTGAGGCGGTGTAGAGAGGACACTGGTACAGACAGACACGTTACCTCTGGGTTCTGATTCTTTTGAGGCGTGAGCCACGTCTTAGGATTTCTGGAGGTCCTCATGTTACAACATACAAAGGCAGGCCGTGAATACAAATTATACATTTAGGTGACAACATCACACGATACAACTGTGTTTATATATTCTATGGCCCGAGTTAGGATAATATTCATATATGTCTTACAAAATCTTTATACAAAAGATGGCTTCAGTATTTACAGGTAATGGAACCTTTTATCAGATTATTTGAGGCTGTGACGTAATTAAAGGAAAATAACAGACAAACAATGATGTGGGATGGAATAAAAATTAGTCCGTGTTACACAGTGCGTTTGAAATAGATATTTTAATGAGATTATAAAATGGTAGGATTATAATAGAGATAAGGGTTACGAGATCATTTTCTAAGTGGCAAAAACTGACACTTCTAAAATATGAGAAAAATATACTGTAGTTCTAGCTGATAGATTTGAAGACTGATCTAATTTCTTGAGGAATGGCATTGAAAGTTAAGAGTATATTGTGTATCAGAGCCTTGTGATACAAGAGTTTCTTATGTCAGGTGTAGTTGTATTTTAAACTTTACTGTAGTGCTGTCAAAATGACTTTGGCTGTAATGCATGTCTTCAAGTCTGGCTTTATTTTCGTATAGTATTTGCCTTATAGAAGAAATGTTCTACTTATCTAGTTTTATCATAAAATATATAAACATTTCAGTTTTCAAAACACTAAGTTTTCGTGAAATTCTGCAAAAATTGTTGCTGAACGTTCAAAATATTACCAGATTATCGTTTCCCGGGAAGTAGGCCGCTACCTCTGTGAGCTTACGCTCGCTCCACAGAATAAAAACAAGCCATCACCAAACTATGGCTAATTCTAGCGGAAGCGGTCCATTAAACCATGCCAAACTTTAGCTGTTCCTGCTAAAATCAGACATAGTTCAGTGATGGTCTGTCTTCATTCACCAAGGCTTGTTGTAGGCGTGCCTAGGCTGTAGGATGCATACCGATGGCCTGCGCCAGGTGGTACTATATAAATTCGAACTAAAAAAAATGTTTTATTTTTTATTTTTTTTTTGGGGGGGGGGGTTCTCATTAAAATCGTCATATTCACACAAAACTATATAAACAAATTAAACAATGAGAATTGTGTAAAAATCAAATAGACATCTGAGCTTCTTGTGTGTTAAGTTGTACTAAAAATATAAATGTTCATAATGTAAATAAATTGCATTGTCTAAATATAGACTGCGTGTGGGCTGAGTCTGGTATGTCTGCTATTGATATAAGGGTGTGCGTTCCGGGTTAGTACGAGGCAGGTCTTGGTAGCACCACCACGCAGCATGACGCAGTATATCAGCCGAGTCTACACAAGGGAATGATATATTGAACGACCTACTATTTCTATCACGTGGTTACGAACATGGTAGAGCAAGTCATATGTCTTCGCTCTCTTTGACTGGATATGGAGGGCGTGTTATTTCCAGTTAAGTTCCAGAGTTGTATATACACCGAGATATATATTACTTGAAGTCTGCTTGAATTCGTGATCTGTGAAGACAAATTTGATGCAAGAAAACAAAATATTTATGTTTTTGTAGAAAATTTCGTGATATCTAAAGCTAACTCGAGATTAGGAAGTAGTGGTAGTGAAGTAGACGATAATGCCGTTAGCTTTAAGTCGGAGTTTAAGTTCTTTACATGAAGATTTTCCCTTTTGTTTTATTCACAAAAGAGTCATCGAGTCTGGGCTAAGACAGTTGTCCCGCAATGGAATTGATTATTATTTATAAGTGATCTGATGTTCTGGTGTTTTGTCTGTCTGGCTGCGGCAGGAGATGTCTGCAGATAACCGCCTCTATACAGTAAGATTCTCGCACATTCTGCCAGATCCTTTCATATCTTACACATTTGTCTCTTACTTTATGCCGCAGCCTCGCCCAGCATCCCTGTACACCACACTCAGCACTCTGTAGAGTATCTCGTCATATTTATTCTCCCTCTCGTGAATATCTCTTAAGTCCTCCTCTCCATGCCAGTCACTTCCTGCACAATGCCAGATTTTTCCTTCAGTTCATCATTTCTGGCTCCGTTGACTCTCAAAACCCTAACTTCCATTTCCCGGTACACCCGGCCACCATCTGACTTCCGTACTGCTGCACACCCAGACGTGATGTGGTTCAAATACATTTTCAGCAATCATGTTTGTTGATAAACTGATTTGTCAACAAAGCCTCTAAGCTTTTAGAATGTCAACTGTACTCGATTGTCTCTTCATATTTATTTATATCTGTCATTCAGTTGATCTGCATTGCTAATATCGGAGTTCAGGCTGCACGTTGTTTCCCGTAAATTATATTCAGGCGTTTTCGAGTTAAGTTGAATTTTTTTCTTTATTTATGCCCCAAAAACTGCCACTCACATTAGCTGTGTTTGTGCTTCTACATTATTGTGTTTGTTTACCTCTTGACGGTGGTTCCTGTGTGAATATTCCACCACAGGGGCGCCACATTTATCGTGAAGGTCAGACTGCTCTTGATATTTATATTCTTGTCGTCTTTATGTATAAATTCAGTCCTCACTTTTTTCCTGTGTTTGTCGACTGTTTTTTTTTCACCTCGCCAAAGTGTTGTCGTCGCAGCTGGTGGCGAGGCAATGGCGGACGATGATCGATGTTATGAAGGATACCAGAAACAGGATTACGGAATCATTTTAATTTTTAAGCAGACGACATGAACCAACCAAACCTACCTTACAAACACTACCCTGGGACACTCAACACTTTGAGTACGATGACTTCATACCTTGAGTATTATGACTTAACACTTTGAGTACAGGCTTCATACCGTGAATACGATGACTTCATACCATGAGTTAAATGACTTAACTCTTTAGTACAATGAATTCACATACTGAGTACGATGACTTAATACGTTGAGTACAATGATTTCACACCTTGAGTACGTTGACAGGACTTTCAGCATGATGACTTAACATTTTCATTACAATGACTTCATACCTTCAGTAATGACTTAACACTTTTAGTACAATGATTCATACCTTGAGTACGATGACTTCATGCTTTGAGTACAGTGACTTTAGTACAATGATTCATACCTTGAGTACGATGACTTAAACACTTTGGAGTAAAATGACTTCATACCATGAGTATGATGACTTTATACTTTTAGCGCAATTACTTACACTTTGAGTACAATGACTTCACATCTTAAGTACGATGACTTAAAACTTTCAGTACGATAACCTAACTCATTGAGTATAGTGATGTAATGCTTTGAACAAGATGGCAACCCTTGAGTACAATAAATTAGTCTTGTGTGTATGATAGGAACCCCTTGAGTACGATGGCACTGTACTCAGTGGTTAAGTCATCGTACTTCAAGACGGAAAGTGAAGTCTGTCTGTTTCGTGTCATCTGTTCTTAGAGATGACATAAATATATTAAACAATGTATAATGTGTAGTGCTGATCGTGGACCCCCCTTCGTCCCTCCCTCCATCCCTCCTTCCTTCCCTGCCTCCCCCCATCACTCACTCACCACCTTTTTCTCCCTCCCTCACCACCACCTTCTCTCATTCACTCTCCCTCCTTCACTACTATATCCACCCCTATCTCAATCACCATCTTCTCCTTCTCTCACCACCATCTTTTCTCTCACTCACTACCTTTCTCGCCCACCTTCACCACCATCTTCTCCTTCTCTCACCACCATTTCCTCTTCACTCACCACCATCTCCTCCTCTTCACCACCATCTTGTCCCTCACTCACTACCTTTCTCGCCCACCTTCACCACCATCTTCTCCTTCTCTCACCACCATTTCCTCTTCACTCACCACCATCTTCTCCCTCACTCACCACCTTTTTGTCCCTCCTTCACCACTATCTTCTCCCTCCATCCCTCGCACTACCTCCTCCCTCGCCACTACCTGCAGCCTTCACTGGCCTTGTCTCCGCCACAGGTGTATCATCCAGAGGATAGCGACAAGTGGTACCTGGAGATCAGCTCAGTCACCTTCAGAGACGCCGGGGTGTACGAGTGTCAGGTCTCCACCAGTCCCAAGATCTCCTTGCCCGTCCTCCTGACTGTGGAAGGTAAGCTGGGGTGGTGTAGGAAGGGGGAGGAGGAGGCGAGGGAGAGAGGGGGATGGGTGGTGGAGAAGGAGGGAAAGGGGCAGGGGAGGAGGAGAGGGTAGGTAGTTACTTGTATCTGCACTCCTGACACTATAAAGTAAGTTTAGGTGGTATAGAACGGGGTGGGGAGGGGGGATTTGGTGGGGGCGGGAGTAGGGGAAGTGGAAGGGGGAAAGGGAGTTCCTCGGACCTGTACGCTTGATACTGGGTGGTTAGATCCTTTTCCTTTTTAAATAATATCGAGAGTAGATGTTACCTCAAGACGTTATGGTATCCTCAAGAGAGAATATAGGAGTGAAATCAGCTTATAATATTTTGGGTGAGACGAAGAACAAGGTGAGTCGTTTTAATGAATTTTATAGAAAACTTTTTCCACACAAACATAGTAAGGGAATATATTTAGTTGTGAAGAGTGTTATTGCAAATTTACCTCCACCTTAGCCGTCATCACATCTGTCATACTTCAAATAATTCAGGTAGAAAAAATATTATATCTCCAGGTAAGGGAGACATTTACGTTACGAACTTTTGAGAATCTGGTCTTGGTCCACGAAGAGCCGCTGTAATCCTTTGTAGTTGGCAAGAACCGCGCCAATCTCCCGGGACCCACTGGAACAAAGGTACTATTCTCGAACTGACCACGATAATGTTTCTTTGAACTGTTCACAACCAATAGCAGAATACTTGAGCTGGCTACTGCAGCTAGTCAAAACAAGAAGTTCGTCCTGGAAGTATTACTAGACGGTGATCGTCCGGGAAGAATTGCTGGACGGTGATCGCCCTGGAAGTATTAATCGACGGTGATCGCCCTGGAAGTATTATTAGACGGTGAACGCCCTGGAAGTATTACTAGACGGTGATCGCCCTCGAAGTATTACTAGACGGTGATCGTCTTGGAAGTATTACAAGTCGGTGATCGTCCTGGAAGTATTGCTGGACGGTGATCGCCCTGGAAGTATTACAAGACGGTGTTCGCCCTGGAAGTATTGCTGGACGGTGATCTTCCTGGAAGTATTGCTGGACGGTGATCGCCCTGGAAGAATTACTAGACGGTGATCGTACTGGAAGTATTACTGGACGGTGACCGTCCTGGCAGTGTTGCTGGACGGTGATCGCCCGTAAAGTATTACTAGACGGTGATCGTCCAGGAAGTATTGCTGGACGGTGATCGTCCTGGAAGTATTGCTGAACGGTGATCGCCCTGGAAGAATTACTAGACGGTGATCGTACTGGAAGTATTACTGGACGGTGACCGTCCTGGCAGTGTTGCTGGACGGTGATCGTCCTGGAAGTATTGCTGGACGGTGATCGCCCTTTAAGAATTACTAGACGGTGATCGTCCTGGAAGTATTGCTGGACGGTGATCGCACTGGAAGTATTGCTGGACGGTGATCGCATTGGAAGTATTACTAGACGGTGATCGTCCTGGAAATATTACTGGACGGTGATCGTCCTGAAGTATTACTAGACGGTGATCGTCCGGGAAGTTATTATAAGACGGTGATCGTCCTGGAAGTATTGCTGGACGGTGATCGCCCTGGAAGTATAACTAGATGGTGATCGTCTTGGAAGTATTACTGGACGGTGATCGTCCTGGAAGTATTGCTAGACGGTGATCGTCCTGGAAGTATTATAAGACGGTGATCGTCCTGTAAGTATTGCTGGACGGTGATCGCCCTGGAAGTACTACTAGATGGTGATCGTCTTGGAAGTATTGCCGGAGGGTGATCGCCCTGGAAGTATTACTGGACGGTGATCGTCCTGGAAGTATTGCTGGACGGTGATCGTCCTGGAAGTATTACTAGACGGTGATCGTCCTGGAAGTATTGCTGGACGGTGATCGCCCTGGAAGTATTACTAGACGGTGATCGTCCTGGAAGTATTACTAGACGGTGATCGTCCTGGAAGTATTGCTGGACGGTGATCGCCCTGGAAGTATTCCTAGACGGTGATCGCCCTGGAAGTATTACTAGACGGTGATCGTCCTGGAAGTATTACTGGACAGTGATCGTCCTGGAAGTATTACTAGACGGTGATCGTCCTGGAAGTATTGGACGGTGATCGCCCTGGAAGTATTACTGGACAGTGATCGTCCTGGAAGTATTGCTGGACGGTAATCGTCCTGGAAGTATTGCTGGACGGTGATCGCCCTGGAAGTATTACTAGACGGTGATCGTCCTGGAAGTATTAGAAGACGGTGATCGTCCTGGAAGTATTGCTGGACGGTGATCGCCCTGGAAGTATTACTGGACAGTGATCGTCCTGAAAGTATTGCTGGACGGTGATCGTCCTGGAAGTAATACTAGACGGTGATCGTCCTGGAAGTATTGAAGACGGTGATCGCCTAAAGTATTGCTGGACGGTGATCGCCTGGAAATATTACTGAACGGTGATCGTCCTGGAAGTATTACAAGACGGTGATCGTCCTGGAAATATTACTAAACGGTGATCGCCCTGGAAGTATTACAAGACGGTGTTCGCCCTGGAAGTATTGCTGGACGGTGACCGCCCTGGAAGTATTACAAGACGGTGTTCGCCCTGGAAGTATTGCTGGACGGTGATCGTCCTGGAAGTATTGCTGGACGGTGATCACCCTGGAAGAATTACTAGACGGTGATCGTACTGGAAGTATTATTGGACGGTGACCGTCCTGGCAGTGTTGCTGGACGGTGATCGCCCTGAAAGTATTGCTAGTCGGTGATCGTCCAGGAAGTATTGCTGGACGGTGATCACCCTGGAAGTATTACTAGACGGTGATCGTCCTGAAAGTATTACTGAACGGTGATCGTCCTGGAAGTATTTCTGGACGGTGATCGCCCTGGAAGTATTACTAGACAGCAATCATCCTGGAAGTACTACAAGACGGTGATCGTCCTGGAAGTATTGCTGGACGGTGATCGCCCTGGAAGTTTGCTGGACGGTGATCACCTGGAAGTATAACTAGACGTCCTGGGTATTGCTGGACGGTGATCGCCTGGAAGTATTACTAGACAGCAATCGTCTGGAACTGGTGATCGTCCTGGAGTATTGCTGGACGGTGATCGCCCTATTACTAGACGGTGATCGTCCGAGTATTACTGGACGGTGATCGACCTGGTAGTATTACTAGACAGTAATCGTCCTTATTACAAGACGGTGATCGTCCTGGAAGTATTGCTGGACGGTGATCGCCCTGGAAGTATTACTAGACGGTGATCGCCCTGGAGGTGTTGCTGGACGGTGATCGTCCTGGAGTATTGCTGGACGGTGATCGTCCTGAAAGTATTACTAGACGGTGATCGTCCTGAAGTATTGCTGGACGGTGATCGCCCTGGAAGTATTACTAGACGGTGATCGTCCTGGAAGTATTACTGAGCGGTGATCGTCCTGGAAGTATTGCTGGACGGTGACCGCCCTGAAAATATTGCTGGACGATGATCGTCCTGGAAGTATTACTAGACGGTGATCGTCCTGGAAGTATTACTGAACGGTGATCGTCCTGGAAGTATTAGAAGACGGTGATCGTCCTGAAAGTATTGCTGGACGATGATCGTCCTGGAAGTATTACTAGACGGTGATCGTCCTGGAAGTATTACTAGACGGTGATCGCCCTGGAAATATTACTAGACGGTGATCGTCCTGGAAGTATTACATGACGGTGATCGTCCTGGAAGTATTACTAGACGGTATCGTCCTGGAAGTATTACTGGACGGTGATCGTCCTGGAAGTAATACTAGACGTTGGTCGTCCTGGAAGCGTTTAGAGCTACCATTATTCACTACGCTAGAGATAAACAGAGTCGTGAGGAGGCACAAAGCCGAAAATATCTCCTTGAATGCCTCATGTTGTCTTTCTTAATGTAGGTTAAGTACAGTTTATCATTAGTCGTTACAACTATTTTGTTAAGTAATGTTCATTACATCCTTTTTTTCTTCCCATTAGCCTCCAAAATAGCATAAAGGATGAGCAGGAAGCCCTAGTACATATTAATTTAGCGGATTTCATCAAGGAAATGGTTGAACCTTCACGGTGAGGCGAGTCAATGCGATATCCCTCACAGGGTACGTCATGACAACGTATGAGATATCCTGATCAATTTCCAGGGAGCGCCATGGTCTTATTCACGCCGAGGTTCATTCTTCTTACCTTAAATATTTTTCCTACAACAGTCTCTTTTCGGTGTCGAGTTCAAAACCTCTTACTCAGAACTTCATAATTAAATTTTACACGTCCCTGGGCTACACCCAGTAACTTTTTCTTCATTAGCGGTCTAGCCATAAGGAGGCAAGAGGCAGGTGGTCTTTTGAGCACAACACTGTGCACATCATCTCTAAAGGCTTTAATTGTTACAATGATATATATATATATATACAGTATATATATATATATATATATATATATATATATATATATATATATATATATATATATATATATATATATATATATAAGTTCATTTGCATGTATTAGTTTCGGTGAAGCCTTCATCCATCTCGAAACACAGGTGGTAATAGTTGGATTCCATTGTGAATATTAACTTACACTGGAAGTTGCCTACACTGTCACCTCAGGTAGGTCAGGTTTCTTGCCGACCTCCAGCAGCAGCTTGACCTGACCACGCCAGGTCAATTGTTTTAACAGCCAGCTATATAAATAACACAGAAATTATAAAATTACAGATGTGTTATTTAAAATAGTTAAATGTGTTGATGAACTGGACTTATATACTGAAGTAAAGCAGGAATTATGGCTTAGCGGATAACTGGGAACAACTGGAGTATAATATACAGACTGAATAAATATATTACTGATACTACTGATACTACTAACTGAACTCTGGTGGTGTTGGGCATTAGAGGTGAAAGACAGGAAGAAACAGAACAGTGTTAGCAGTAATTGGTGTCTCATAAACATCCGATTCTAACAGCGAGAAAAGATAAAATATTTGGCAGGTTGATGCAGCTCGCTGGTATCTAACGACGGTATCTTGGCATAAAGCAGAAACAAAGAAATGTAAGAGCTAGTAAACACAGTGGAAATGTTCAATATATAAAACGGAGAAAATCAACAAACGGAAAACGAAGCAAAGGTGAAAGTGAGATGTAACATTGATAATGAATATGGAGACAAAATAAAGTGTGAAATGTATGGTAACAATTAAGAAACTATCCAAACTCACAGACAAAGGGAAAATTAACGGAAATCCTAGAAAAAAACGAAAAGATAAAAACACTGAAAATGTTAAGAAAAAAAATATAAAAGAAGAAATAGAATTCTACCATGATGGCTATGAACAACAAGAGGCACAACGGATGTAAGAAAAATATAATAATGTATAGGATTACCACAGAGACATTCCCCGACTCTCAACAGGGCTGAAATGTCCCCGACTGGCAAGAATGAACGAGACATTTTGTATAGCCAAGAGAGAAGTTTAGGTCAGGTGGTTTGTTGATGAGAGAGAGAGAGAGAGAGAGAGAGAGAGAGAGACGATTAATGAAGTTCCCCCAAGAGTAGAATTTAATTTACATATCAACAGTTGGATGTGATTAAAAATATCAATATTTTTATTACCACATCTAATATCTCTCTTTCAGGCCCTTCCCTCTCTCACATATTCCCTTGGGCATTCTTCAATTTTAACGACGTATCCAACTT